CACACACACACACACAGAAGAAAGAAATGAATAAACAATAGTAATAATAATAATAATAATGACAATGATACAGACACCAGTAATGATTCAGAGATGTTAATGATAATATTAACAGCCAATTTGAACAAAAGAAATGTCCCATGGAGCGAATGAGACCTCGAACTAAAAAATAAGCACATGGCCTGCAGCGCAGGAAGAAACGTATGTTTCATATTATTCGATTAGTCGAAAAGGAGGTGCAAGCTCCCCCCGCGAATCACGGAGCGAAGCACAGCGAAACCAATCTAATTCCAGCATATATTAACAAAGTTGAAATGGTAAATTGGCCACCGTAACGATTACAAAAGCTGACGTTTCGAGCGTCAGCCCTTCGACGAAGGGCTAACGCTCGGAATGTTAGCTTTTGTAATCGTTACGGTGGCCAGTTTACCATTTCAACTTTGTTGATATATCCAAATTATTTCGTTACCCCCACCGACGCAGCTCCAAACAGTTTCTTTAGAAACTATCAGCCCTAATTCCAGCATAGTCTCGACACTCGATTGAAAAAATTGCTTTCTACTTTTACGTAACTTTTTACGTAACTCTATCTATTTATATAACCTTTTGACAACATATGACGGACTAACGACTTCTCTGAGCCAAAACCGGACGCTTTCGAACCCTGGCACATAGCATATTGTCGGTCTACAAGCTTAGGATCGCAGATGACTGGATGGTATACGTGTACCAGGCCAGGATCCGCCGCACGGAACACGCTAATGTCTTGATGCCTAACAAACTTCTCGTACAAATCCACATCTTCCAGCCCCCAGCCCTGAATTGTTGTGTCAAACCCCCCAACAACTCGTAAATCGTGGTTGTAAACAGCGACTATGCCGAACGCATAAGCTCGCCAGAATCCCGCGTCCCTGTTCACTGTGAACTGGTTGTTGGGAGCTGTACGGTTGGGGTATGTGATCTCTGGATCAAACTGACTGAATACCATAGGGTAATACACTTGTTGACCGAGTATCGTGTTCGTACGAGCGCGATACAGAAACTCAGCGTTAAAAACCAAATCGACGTCGCAGAAGAACAATAAAGCACTTTGGTCAAACTGGTTCGCCCCGAGAGAAAGAGCAAGGCCGCGTGAAAAATCTCCTATAGCCTCCAGCCACAATAGATCTGCCTCGGGATATCTCGTTTGGTAATCTTTCATTACGGTTTTGTGCTCACGCGCAGAAGTCACGGAGGGGAAATATACCACCAGAAGTTTTGCGTTCTCTCGTCGTTTTAGGCAGACGTCTTCAAAATTCTTCATAAAACGGCGGAACGTTCCAATGCGACCGGTTAGGGGGAGGATAAAATGTACCGAGGGGACCTCTTTTCCAAAGGACTCGGCTCGGTAGACCATGTTGCCAAAGGGTAATTGTAAAAAGGCGTGGTGACGCACGTGAACCGTCATGCGCCTCCTGTTGTGTCCAATGTGCCGGTGATACTTCATGAGCATATCCATGAGGTACTGTGCGCCGTATAGCGGATGTACTCGTATGTATCCGGGATTAAGTTTTTTAAATTCAAGGCTGCGGTGAAGAACTCGCTTTGCTTCCTCATTGATTAATCCCATTGTCTGCCCAAGCACGTGATTAAGCCCGTCTTTCCACGGATCGCGCATGCCCGTCTCAGGCGGCTGAAGCGTGACTTCGGAGTAGAACTTTTGCGCCGTGAACATGTCCCAAGGTTCATGGTATCTTGAACTAAGTTGGTGATGAAAATCTCTCACGCCTTGGAGGCTAGTTTTTTCTTCAGTTGATAGTGAACTGATCGTGGAGTTCAGCAACAGATCCATGTTCTTGAGGACTCTTTGCAGCTTAATTGCTTGGTGCTGAAGTTCTTGAATGCGCATGGACATGAAATGTACTTGCAAACGGTACATGTACGACGGCTGTTTTACCGGGTGAAGGGTGATAGCTTTACGTACCGACTTTGTGTCCAGGTTACCATGAAATGCCTGTGTCTTGCTTTGGTTGTGGTAGAACAGAGCTTGCATCTATAAAAAAAATAAGTTCAAATTTAACGTCAAAACGGAAAAAAATTGCAACACTTTATCTTAACTCAACGTTTTCAGACAACAAGAGAATATCTCTATGGGAGAAACGCTCATTATCAGAAGACACTTTATCAAAGAGGAAGTAGCCAGTTCCAGGCCAGTAAAACGCAGTGAAATAATAAACGGCGCATAGAGCAGCAGAGCAAAAGCGAGGGAGGTTTGGGTCAGGTCAAGCAACTCGCGGTTCGTTTTACCAACTGAATGCCTGGAACTAGCAAGAAGGGGACGCAAAATTTGTCCAACCCGTAAAAAGTGAAAAAATGCCCTCAAAACCTATGAATCTATTACCCTAAATCAAAAGACACCTCGAAACACTTTTACTCATCCCGAGGGTGTCCCACAGAATAGAGGTCCCACAAAATAGAGTTCCTACCTGCACTATATTTCAACCATCAAATTGACCAGTAGGTGTCTTCTACAATTTCACAACAAATAATTATTTCAAAGGCTGATACAAAGGTCGGAATAAAAGAGCCAATCTCGTATTGCTTGGTAGGACAAAGGCCCCTGACAAGGGTTGAGAGACCCACGGTGTTCTATGCTCTTTCAAGCCTGGCTAAAAATCATGCTTCATGTCCAGTTCGCAAGAAATTTATACTCGAACGATGATTGGCAGTGTTAAGAACACGTTTTTCAAGAAACTGTTTCTTCCATTGAGGCCAGTGAAAGACTGAATCAAGGACAATAATAATGGATGAGGCCAAAAAAGAATGAAAACAAAAAGATTCCATCAAAAGTAAGTTCTTGATGGAATGATATTCATTTGTGGCTTATAATTAGTGAGGTGAATACAAAACATACACTTGGTAAACTAGCACGTTTCTCATGCTTCAATCTGTAAAAATATCGTTGCTAAAATTGACGTTAATGAACGGCAGAGGGAACACGACCGTCTAAGCGGCCGACCATTTAACTTTTGAAGGGGGGGTGGGAGATTTCTGGTCATCAAGAAATTTTTTTTCTAGCAATCTGTTGTGCAGGGTATTTTTTTCGACTTTATGGTACATTTTTTCTGTTACATTTGGGCTGCATGCAATTTTTTTCTTCCAACAAGCGCTTGCAGGAAATTATTTTTCAAAATCACCCACCCCCCCTCAAAAGTTAAATGGTCGGGCCCCTAGAAGGGATAAAACGATTTCCGAATGATTTTGTTGAAACCCGATCCTTTCACCAGAAATCTGGGAAGAAGTAACCTGCGAGAGCTCACGTATTCACATGTATGCTATTGTTTATTGTTTTTTCGAGTTGTAACTCGGATAAACATGGAATCAATATATGTAACTAAGTTCGTCAAATTGAGAAGTTTTCAAACACGAACTAAAAACTACACAAAGGACGTTTCCAATTGTTTTGGCATTTTCAAATAGGGATGGAAAAGGTTGAATAACGTTTCGTCAGAATTTTTTCCTAGCAAGACTTGAGGAAATTAAGTTATGCTGAATAGTGTTACGCGCAAAACCATATTGACTGTTGGTACAAAGGTTGACGAATACAACATAAAGTTATCACCAAGGGACAGTTCTGGAAACACTGAAGACCGTTACAATAGATAATCCTTCTGTTTCATTACAGTAAAATTGCTTTAAGTTGGTATTTTAATGAAGCTTCCAGGGTTAATTTGTTTGGTACATATCGTCATTGCGTTCCTAAAAAATAACAAGTGCTTGAGTTGTTGGAAAGTTAAATTGAATTACCCACAGCAGAATTTAGATTTATTTACAAATTGTAGACGACCATGGCGGAACTAAGGAGCAAATGGCTTGAGAATGAAAGCTGAATTTACTCGGTAGCTCATTAGTTTACCCCATAACATTTATTCTGATGCTGTTTACTAATGTTCATTAATCCCTTCGGTTCAAGTCTTTGTCCGCTGATCACAAGCTTTGTCCTTTGTCATGCAATTCAATGTGAAACGCTTGTAATTCCCAGAAACGACCTTTGATCTTTCGCAGCACGGCACGTGGTTTGAAGTACCAACCTTTATCTTTTAGCCAATACTAGAAAATAATTCGCCTTATTTCAAAAATTCACAGTTTAGTTTCAAACAAATTTTGTTGTAGCCATGAAAAAGTAAGTAAATTTGATACCATGAGTAAAGAAAACACTCTGAATTCAAGATATTGATCAAAAAGGAACATGCATTAAAAAAGACACACACACACACACACACACACACACACACACACAAAACTGATACAAACACGTTACATATTTGCCCAATATCTACGTTTTTGATACACACCATCCTCAAAGGTTATAGCAAAAACATGATTGGGAAAAAAATTACTATCTTCTATGTCCCGGCACCTTAATAAAACCATGCTCAATAAATTTAAAATATTCATTTTTTTTTACAAAGTGGCTCTGACCCTATAAATAAGCTTTTTCAATAACCACTCAAGGAGAATAATATTCTTAGACCACTTGCAATGATATAAGAAATATAAGGGTTCCAAAACTCCCAAATTAAGGGCTGGAAGTGTTGCTATGGGAAAACAAGTGTATGAAAAAAAACTTTGAATAGTTAATGACGATTGGGAATTTGTGATATACCATTGTGAAGGTAAAATAAACTGAAAAATAAAAAAAGTTATTTATCTAATAGACAACAGAGCCAAACAAACAATACCTTTCTTAAAAAAATGTCTGAATATTTGAACTACAAAAGTGCTATTTCTACATCTTTGAGTAAATAATCAATTTGAGAGGAAAACAGCTGAGCAGCTGGAAAAACATGAAATTATTCTTACAAATTTAAAGTAAAAGCAAACCCCTCTCTCTCTCCCCACACATTCACAAAAAAAAGAGAAAAATATTAGCCCTAAATTTTTCATGCAATATTTTAACCAACATCCTCTAATATTGATATTGCTTAGGTTTTTAAAAGGGGTTATATGAATGTTTCAAAAGTATGAAATTATCAACTGATATCAAAAAGTGAACAGAAGTAACTTCCAGAATGCATGACCATTGCATGTGAAAGAATAAGATCGAGTGAGCTGATGTCTACATCCTTAGTCCCAGACTCTCAGCTATGAAGATAGGAAGAGCCCAGCCAACACAAAAACCATTGATAATTCTGAACTGTACATCACTTAAAAGTAATTCAGGGCTCAAACTAGGCAATTAATTAATTCATTGAAAAATATGATCTTTTAGAGCAACTACATGTATTACCATATAAACTACAAAGGTCAAGCTATACAAAGTCAACTTTCTATTCTACAGCAATCCATATGCAGCGCCAACACAAATATACAAAGGGCCTCTATAAACAATACTTTATAATATCTTCCACAAATAGAATTTGGCAAAAAAGAAAAACATATCTTTTGGGTAACTCGCAAGAAACTGAAGCATAAAAATAGTTGCTATTGATTCAAGACTGCTACATCAGTGTATACCATGATTTCAGTATACTTAGTACTTGCTGTAGTTCATGATAATCTTATCAAATTTGTGATGGATAAACTGATGCATTGATATTGCAAAACGGCATAAGCCCTGACAAGTTGCCTTCGGACATGTGGGGAATCTAGGGGGGGGGGGGGTGTTACCAGGACCATGCATTTTGAAAAGCTACACAAATTCTAAAGCACTGTAGATTGGGGCTCTAAAAATTCAAGGGTACTTATGTTGAATTCTAATTTTTAAGAAAAGAGAATTCTCAGTAAGAGATTGAATCCTTTACAAGGAACTCTACACAATTACTTTGGTCAGATCTAAAAACCTGGACTTATCTGCCTAGCATTCAGGGAATTATCCAAAAATAGGCTGTATTTCTCATTGACAAAACTATCAGAGTAACAATTTAAAATGAGACAGTAGTATGATTTATCCCACCAAAAAAATTTCATCATTTTGAATAAAAACATCATCATCATCATAATTGTGTTCAATGTCAAAGGGTAATCATAGGAATAATTGTGTCAATGTCTTCTCAGACCAATTTGGAGTGAGAGCATCTCTATAGACCATAGGACATTTGTAATAAAAAGAGATCAACTGTAAATGGAATGAGAAGAGAAAGGAGGTGTTAACAGAAGAAAACAAGGAATGCAGGAACTTGGACTTCTTGCATCAGACATGTTTTACTGTCACACCATAAATAACATTAACAATGTCCTGTTCCACACCTCCTCCAAGAAAAACACTGATTGGAAAAACATTTACTTACTCATTTGAGCATTAAGTGACCCTCAGTTTGATTAAGCAACTGCCTTGCACTCCTCTCCCGTTAATGGCCCGTTTCCCCGCTAATCTCTAATCTCTTTTACATCTTGGATGCTCAGCAATCAATATGTTGAAATAAATTCCGCCGCAATCTTTATCACGTTAGTTCATCCCACTCTACCGACGCAACCTTTATATGGTAATAATAAATTAATAGAAGAACCTTACCTCAAAAGACCAAGTGCATGGAATTCCCACAAAGCGTTTAATGCATCGCCCAACCTCCACATCTTCGTGCGATGTGAGTAAATGTTTCAAACAATATTCGATATGAGGCACAACCTTCTTCAGAACGCTCCTGCTTATTATGACTCCAGGGCCACCCATACAAAAATTATCTCCAGAGCCCAAACCAAGCAGGCCTTTTTCGTCTTTCGCCCCTGTTCCAGCTTGGCCAAGATAAATGTCCTGAGAACTATTTAGCGACCAAAGAAAGCTTGCAAGTTTCTCAGTTCTAATGTAAACATCGTCGTCCGAACGCATAAACCATTCATACTGGTCGATATAGTTGTCATGCATATACTTCAACATCATCATGGACTTTCGCTGAGGAGGGTAAGAATCGTCCACACCGGGTAAACTCACAACGGGTAGCTCCATCTTAGTCTGGGACGTGCCGCTTGAGAAGAACTCTAACTTGCCCGGGACTTTCCGACCCCACGTCTCATAAACTGCTTTCGCTCGCGAATCAAGAAACTTCTCGGCCGTCATAACTCCAATAAAGATCAAATGCCTGGAGTTAAGCTCTTTGGACAATGTACTCGGCCGTACGTCTCTAACAAAGTTCATATGGCAACGCCGAGACTGGACAGGCAGAAGATTTTGCCTGAGGAACAATGCCACAGTGAAGCCCAAAATCAACCCGCCAAACATCGTAACAACTCCTCTGATACTCATGTGCCTTGATTTCATGGCGGGCAAAACAAAAATCCTTCTAAACTATTGAAATGGATAAATGTTTTAGCAGTCTTACACTCTACGAAGGTATAAAGGACCAGGCGCCGAACATTTTAGTGAACAGTAAAGATTTCAAGAAGTTCGCTTTCTCAGTGCCAGCCATGTTTGCTATATCTTTACGTCACCATACACGTGCAAAATTCTTGAATATTTGCTCCAGCATTGCGTCTCCGAGGGAACGAAATATTTGGACGGCTATCTCTCTTGCACTTTGATTTCTCCCATCTTTCCCGGCCACGAGAGCATCCTATTAACCGTGCTTTTTCTTGTTTAAATTTCTTGACTCCAGTTCAAGCTCATTGAGACATAAATAAATCATTTCAAGGCCTCTCATTGGCTAATCGCATAGTTTCACCGGCAACCATAACAAAAGAACCGACAAGAGTAAGGTTTTCCACGCCTCGATAATTTTGCACAGTGTCCTATGCTGACCGGAAAAGAACTATATAGAAGCAAAGATAACAAGCCAGTAGTAAAAGCTAATATTACAACGACATATCAGACTAAACTTGCGAGCACTATGCCAAAACGACTTTTTTCTTTCTCTTTATTAGCACCTTTCGGTCGACGTGGTGTGAATTACATGGCAACGGACAATTTATTTCTCGAACGCGATCATTCGCCTATCTTTAGACATAAATGGCGATAAAAATAACAACACGAGAAAAACCCTCAGAGATCTGCACCTTCGTCTCTGAGATCTAGTGCAGTAGTAGTGATTTTGTTATGTCAAAAATGTTCCCAGATTTTAACTCAAATTAAAGCTGAACAAACAAACACAGTCATTTTGAAAAGCTCTTGATCAAGGGGATTTAGACGCTTTTGCACTCAACTGTGAATAATCAAAACATTCTTTCATATGCTCTGATGCTTATGTTCACTTCAAAGGAGCGACAGGCTTGGAACTTAGATATGACAGTCTTATCATATAGCTCTTGTAAATTCTGTCATTTTCTCGCTGATTCAACAAATGTTTTAGCTGCGAACGAAGGTTCTCTGCGTGTAATTACGTTAGAAGTACTTTTATTAGTGAACCACTACTGTCTTTCTTTTTTTCCGTTTCTCGTATCATTATCATTTTTCATTTTTTTCCAAGTCATGACATGATCTCTGAAAAACTCCGATAGCTTCCCTGTAGTCTTGGTTAAAGAATTGAATCACTCCTCTCGAAATCTGGCGTGATATCTTCATAGAGTCATTACTTTAGGTAGAACTTTCTCGAAAGAGCGGTAGTAGGGGGTATAAATCTCATTTCCTGATCTTCAATAGATATTTTCGATTCCTTCTTAATTATCCTTGTCTGACTTACGTCAAATCCATCTGAGTTCTCGACTGCAATCGAAATCTGGTTTATTCCCACCCTCCCCTCATAGAGAGTTTCTATCGTTGGCTATGAAAGACCATATGTCACTATGTCAGCGAGCTTCGGTGTAAATCAGAATTTATCTGTACAAATTCTATCAAATACAATAAATGAAAGTTTTCAAAGAAGCAAAGTAGGTCTCAAAATCACTCTCGATGTCCAAGTTGGAGTAAACATATTTAAGATAAAAAAAAATATCCTCCTTTTTCCGATCTGACAGATGCCTAATTGAAAAGGAAGGACGGAACACGCATATTGATTGATAATCGCGCGACATTTTTCTTTGGGTAACCTTAAAAAAATAATCGCCCATGGGCTCTTTTTCTCTCTTTGATTTCGGATATTTTTGCATAATTTTTCATACTAACCCTACTTGCAACACGAAACCCAAAAAAGTGGTTGCAAGGGAATGGTCTTCATTTTTCTCGCCTGTCGCCGGTGGTTGGATGATTTTGAAGGTCACATAGTTTTCAGGGGAAAGGAGGGGCGATCATTCGTCTCGAACAGAGTTTGAAGGAGGGAACTTAAGAGATTTAGAGGAGGATTATTGGAATACTACAGAGCCTTATGGGGGGTCTAGTAATATTCTTGTGACACAACCAAAATCCTCCTACCCTTTTTTTTTTTTTTTTGTAATAATATTCTACTTAATGTACATAATTCTTAATGTAGTTTGTAATTCTTACTGAATATTTTGTTGTGGGCCTCCTGGAAAGTAGCTTGTAGCTAAGTGGGGTTACACCACAGGAATCCCATACAATCTGTTTGTGTATGTAGCCGACCGTTGTTTTTTAGAGAATGTACCAGATTTACCGTTTGCCTCACCTAGAGTGATATATTGCTGATTATGTACATAAATCATTGATAAATAAACGTTGCATTGTCGTGCATTGTGGTGCATTGTCGTCCTTTTGCAAAAGAACGACTATGCACCACAGGTAAAGTAATTCAACGTTTATTTATCAATTATTGATGTACATAATCAGCAATATATCACTCTGGGTGAGCAAACGGTAAATCTGGTAGATTAGGGACCTTAAGCAGTCAGGACGGCAACGCCAAGGAAGAAAACAAATGAATTTCTACCCTTAGAATTTCAAAAATGGCTGCAGGAGCTTACTGTCTCATACGGTACCACAGCTCAACTTCAGCATGCCGTATAAAAGTAGCGTTGAGTTCCAAATGCAAATTAAAATAATTTGCCGTCCCGGTTTCGGTTAGCAGACGACCCAAATCAGATTTTGGCGATTTCACGTTGTTGTTTTGCATAGGACGGCTAAGAAATGTACAAAGTTTCAAAATGCACGTGCTGCGCTATTCTGTTCAAAATGCACGTGCTGCGCTATTCTGTTCTGCCCATTAAATCTCTTGTTTTTCCACGTCCTCGTTGCCGTCGCCGTCGTGGTTGCTTAAGGTCCCTATTTATAAAACAAAGGTCAGTTACACAGATTGTATGGCCTCCCTGTGCTAACTACTACTACTACCCTCCCCCCAACCCCGGGCCACCCGGACGAATCCCCTAGTTTTCAAGATGGCGGCTCTTGCTGGCATTCGAGTTGTTGAACTGGCTGGACTTGCTCCTGCTCCGTTTTGCGGGATGATTCTAGCTGATTTTGGTGCGTTAGTAACGCGAATAGACAAAGTAAGAACTATGTCCACTACTGATACACTTGCTCGGGGAAAGAGATCCATATCTGTAGACTTGCAGACTCCTAAAGGTATCGCCATCGTACGAAAGATGTGCTTGAAATCCGATGTTTTGATCGAGCCTTTTAGACCTGGAGTTATGGAGCGATTGGGCTTAGGACCAGAGATATTGTTGAAAGATAATCCAAGATTAATTTACGCTCGATTGACAGGTATTTTTTCTAAAGTTGAGTCAGTAATAAATCCTTTATAATAAAATCCTGTCGATAAATCTTTTATTGACCGATGTTGTACGGTCAGGTTGGCTGGGTATTGGCCGAGTCCTCTGTTAGCGATTTTATGGACCGAGACGAAGTCGAAGAAGCAACAAGCTTGGTAAATTTGCTAGCCTTGCATCCATTGTTAGTCCACTTACAAATTTTAAAGTTGACTCAAGTTGAGAGAGTATTTTACTGTTGTTACAAAACAAGAGACAGACTTGTATGTTCATAGAGGTGCTCTGAAAGGTCTAGGTCCATAATGTCCGTTTATTTACCGAAGTGGAGGTGAATAGAGGTTCATAATAAGGGTTTAATTTTTAAAATCATCTGCTTAAAAGCAAATTGCAAAATTATTTATGATTTAAAGGTTATGGCCAGACAGGATGTCATGCTAAGAGAGCAGGTCATGACATAAACTATGTTTCCCAAACTGGGCTTTTATCAAAGCTTGGACGCAAGGCTGAGAAACCCACTGCACCCATCAACCTTCTAGCAGATTTTGCTGGTGGAGGACTGTCTTGTGCTTTGGGAATTTTGATAGCTTTGTTTGAGAGATCCAGGTCTGGAGCAGGCCAAGTTATTGATGCCTCTATGGTAATGTCATGTTTATTTTATATTTCTGTCAACAAGATGAAAGGGAGAACTGTGCTAGTTGATTTCTGCTGACCCTTCAACTCCCAGTTGTGGTTAACATGTTACTCCCATGGAGCAATGTTTATTTTTTGTACTATGTCATTTTTTAAATATTTCTTTTGTTTATGACTGACTTTGTCTCTTTTTTCTTTGACTTTTTCGAAGGTTGATGGTGCAGCCTATCTAGGGTCTTTTATTTACAAGAGTCTTGATATGGGATTCATCTGGCAACATCCTGAGCGAGGCAGGAACTTGTTGGATTCTGGGGCACCTTTTTACGATACATATCCAACATCTGATGGAAGATACATGGCTGTTGGAGCCATTGAGTCCAAGTTTTATCGAAATCTTATTGAGGGTTTGTCATCAATATTTGTTCTTTGCACCATCTGTTTGTAAATTTAAATTGAAAAAACATTTTAAATGCTGGGATTGGTCATTCAATTCAATTGAATCAAATAATTGGTTGTGCAAACAAGCAGAGGCCATTTTTGAGCAAAATTGTATTCTAAACATCTACAATTTATCCAAATTATTTTATGAATCTGACATTAAATTGCCAAGATTTCAAAGAGAATCAGATGAACACGAAATCAAATACCAGTGAAATTAATTACCAATGAGGTAGTTGCTCCAAGGCTTTCAAGGGTCAAAGTTTTGCATTTTACTGAAAGTGATAAATTGTTTTTTAGGCCTTCAGTTGGAAGAAAAACTACCATCTCAGTTTGATATAGAACAGTGGCCAAAGGCTAAAGAGGAAATTACCAAGGTGTTCCTAACAAAGACTCAGTCTGAGTGGTGGCAAATATTCAAGAATCTTGACGCTTGTGTAACACCAGTTCTTACGATGGATGAGGCACCTTGTGAACCACACAATGAAGAAAGAAAGACATTTATTTGGAATGATGGAGCATATGAACCTACTCCTGCTCCAAAACTGTCCAGGACACCAGGCTGCTGTAAAGGAAAGCCTCAGCCAAAGATTGGAGAACATTCTGTAGAAGTTTTACAAGAGATTGGCTATACAGACACAGAAGTTCAACAGCTGATCAGTGAGGGTGTTGTTGATTATCCAGACATGAAATCTTCTCTTTGATATGGTGTAGGATGCCTTTTTTGATCAGTTTATGATGAATTCTAGGTTGGGTTCTGAGAACACAAGCTTATGGAGGCATAGAGTTTTTCACTTTTCTACACATTGGACAGAATTAAAAAAAAAATGAAAAAACAAATGTTATGGACCCCTCTCCACTCACCCCATTCCCACAGAGCAAGGATGAAGATGCACAGACCAAACAAAAGACATTTAAATGAGTTGTATCTGGTTTGGGGGTTGAAAGGAAATGGTGAAAATTTATCATCATCTCCAGAGTTTAAGAGTTTCATTTGATAGAGCAGACTAGATGCTTTCTACATCACTCGAGGATGCCATCTTGTCCTGGAATTGTTTACAAAAGTTTTTCCCCATGCTCACCCCAACAATATTGCAACAAAGTGGCCTCTGCTAGCGTGACTTCCCTCCCAGTCTCATACCCAGGTCCTTCTCAGCCAAGTGGTTGTACATGTAAGTTACAGTTAGGATCTGGGTACAAGATTATTCTTTTCCCCCTCCTACCCCACCCCTGCCAACCTGCAAAGAAGTCCAAGCATCAGAGTGAATTTGTCTTTGTTTGTTATATCTGCTTGGTAATTTGAAGCCATCAGTGACAACAAATATTTACCGAATATTTCTTACCTTAAGCAACAATATAGCCCTTTTCCAGGTGTTCAATTAGTAAGAACAGCACTATAGTAGCGAAGGAGTGAAAATACCTGTGAGTGTTTTGATTAACTTCGTACCCAGTTTCCTCTAACTGTACTATCGACCACTTGGTCGAGGAAGGTCTGGGTAAAAGATTAGATTATGACCCGACCCATACCTCCCTCGTTTTCGTTTTGCACCGACGATCCAGTATCATTTCCATTCGCTTCTTTTTACCACCTGGACGCCTGGAACATGCTAGTAATTACACAGTACGGTCGACTGTAACTCCCTTGTACAAAGCATTCATTGTATCAAGAACAATGTTGACAATTTTGCGCTCCTTTTTGCCGGTGTGTGATATTTTGTGCACACGTCTTATACCTGTCTCTATTTTTCAGCCACGTGGAACAGGTAAATAAACTCTCACGCCAAGTGTTGCCCCTCAAGCTCTGATTGTGATCCATGTGTTTTCTCTCTTTATTTCCTTTATATAGATTCCTTCACCATTCGATTAGATTAAAAGTTGGATATTTCAGTATCTTCTTTCATTGTCGTTTGAAATTCATTAATGGATCTTTTTTCGCAAATGACGTGTCTCTACCAGAAAAGCGTATCGAGTTCTGAGTTGTCTTTTCAACTTTAGATAAATAACAGAGAAATATAAGTAACCAGAATGCATGATTCGAGCTGAAACAAAGCGTAAATATCTCCAGAATTTTCGGAGAGGCTAGGGCTGAAAGCGGCTATGGATTTCAGAGACTAATTCTGAAAAAATTTGATTTATTTTAGTGTTATAGAGTCAGGTTTTGGAGAACTGGGCGGAAACTCCAGAGGAAGAACTCTGAGGAGTACCCAGCCCTCCCTGGGGCGACTGGTGAGCCAAAATATGGTTCTGTGAATAGTGTTATCACGACATCGATCCACACAAAAGGGCGTTCTCCCTCGGTATAAAACTGATATTTTAAAAGGCATTTAATCTCTGTTTTGTAAATTAGAAGAGAAAGTTCTGCATGTGGATCCTGGCAGTACCTGTGCTGAACTGCCGCATGCCGACGGAAAGACCCGACGTACAATTTTAACTTTTCTCGTTTTGTCAAGTAAGTTAAGACTTAAAATTTAGTTTAAGCGAAAGTTGCTTACGACATCGTTGTACCGTTAATTGTAAATTGTTATTTTTCCTTTGTCCGTGTGACTTTTGAGTCTCATGAAATGTATTTTCATCTGATTATTTACACGATCTCATTTGTAATTTGTTTGTACTTTTATTTTAGTTCTCGCGGTGTTTGTTTAACAAAGTAAGAAGTTGAATAAATTTTTACGGACATCAGTTTGTGAACGCTGTGATCACTGCATGGAGCAATACTTCCATTTCCCGTATGTATTTGTTTTGTCAGAACCGGTTGATCGGATAAGCTCTTGAGTTGGCTGAGTGCCTGGTTTCCAAGCGATGCATCTGGCTAATCGGCCAGGGGCCATTGTTTCATCAAGCCATAGTTAATCGATTAACTATGATTAACTACGATCAAGCCGTTCAGCAACAAAATTTATCCCGGTTCGTTGTATTTGCTTTGTGACCCTAAAGCATATAACTTGGTTAAAACAAAAGACAGGCCGTCGTTTATGATATTCATCTGCTATGGCCTTACAGTTCAGTGCGTTGTTGCACTATTATTCCAAAAGCGAAACATTCTCCATTTAAATACAATGAGTTCGTAAGACTTATGGCAAATCTGGTACTACCATAAAATCATTTTCCGGAAAGCTAAGCGGAGTCACGCGCAAGCGAGCAAAAAATCAGAAACTGTGTTGTTTTTACCTCCTTCGAATCACGCCCAAGCCCCGCGAGACGTCTTCCTGCATGGCTGAAACACAATATCCTGTGTTTAGCTGGCTGGGCTACGGAAACTTTAGCTTTGCAAGCTGATCTTGTCCCCAAGGTACCCTATCGCTTCCACTTTCACCCCCGTCATCTTTATCGATCAATTTTCAGAATCCTACTCTTTGAACTCGTCATCGAACTACATTATTAGATAGGCGTGGCGAATTCTTTAAATCTCTGGTTCTGTTAAAATTAAAACTTGTGAGGTTAAGGGTCTCGCAAATATTGTCGTCAAATCTGATAGAGCTCGCAATTTGGTTTTTATACCATTTTTTTTTTATCGGTCTCTCTCTTGAACTCGTCGTCGGAGTGTCGCAAAATATATATATATATATTTAATGTTTCTCACAGCACACAGCACGAAATACCGCAGATTAAAGAACCCCTATAAATTTGAAAGCCAAATAACATGCATCGTAAAAAGAGACCCAACTTGAAGCCACGTGAAAACAAGTGAGCTAAGCTCAGATAAGAGTGGCAAGATTCACAAGACATTTCAACACTTCGTAAGACTTCCGCAGTTTAGACAGAGCCGCACATGTAGGAAAAGACAACAACAACAACAACAAGACATTTCAACACTTCGTAAGACTTCCGCAGTTTAGACAGAGCCGCACATGTAGGAAAAGTTCTAGTCTCGCTAAATCTCGCCAATTAGAGCATTAGCATGGCTACGCCTCACGACAGACGCCGTTTTTGAAAGCCCCTGATCGAAGCAAATCTATGATGTACGAAGGAATATTCTCTTCCTCCCGCAGGGCTGTTTGTGTGAAGGATACAACTGATGTATTATAGTAGTGAAACGGGTTGCGCGTCCTAGACATGCAGTTGATTTGTACGCGCAAAATAAGAATGATTTGCCGCTTTTTCTTGGCCACAAAACGTTTTTAAAAGGATCATGATCGAACAAATCTAAACTACATATAAGACAGATCCGAACAACTCTCTGATCTGTAGAGAGGTTGATAATCATTTTTCCGCGGAGGTTTATAGATACCGGTAAAGTTGCGTAGGCTCGGTTATTTCTTCAACCTACAAGGGGTACCGGGGGAATGATGGTTTCAAATGTTCAAGCAGATAAAACTGTCCTCAAAAAGCTAAACCGTTTGAAAGTGATAATGGAAATCGACCGAAAATGTCCAAAAAGCCTAGTGGCAGCATTGTTTTTTTGACAAACATTCTCGATCGGGAACGGCATACGTTCATTGGCGGAAATGTTGTCAATCGTTTCGCAACAAGTCGGATTTCACGTGAGCTCCTTGTCCCGTATTTTTACGTAGCCGTTACTTATCAAGCCACTGCCTTGCGCAACACGTTCACCTCAGATGAGATCTATAAACTGACCCTACAACACATTACAATAATATTTTTGTTACCGATATGTAAAAAAAACCTTTTACGAGGGGTATAAGATTTTTGTAGCGAGTTTGACTTCCCTCTTCCTCAGTCCATTTTTGAGCGAGTACAAGTTCCTGTTTCCTGATGTTGTGAAATTTTTTAACCAATGGGCCTATTGATTTGTGTAGTAAGGGTCATTTCAACTGTTTCCTCTCATTCTCCAATTTTGTTCTAGAGTTTGTCTGTTGTACACAAAGCGATCCTAGGACAGGCACTTTGCAGACATCCAAACAGCTTTCTTTTCCTTTTAGTCCGCAGTCTAGAAAAAAACAACGACGATAACTTCGAATTCTTTCCTACGGGTCGAAAAAAAAAAAAACCGGAAAGACACGGCTTTGTCCACTCCCAGGTAGAAGACAAAAAAAAAAAACATATGAAATGAAATCTTAAGAGCCTCACGTAATCTCTTGCGTATTATTATTTTATTTTTTTCACCTCGTGATGTTGCTTGCTTTTTTTTTTTTTCACTGTTGTTGTTGATTTTTTTTCTTCATTAGTATTGTTTGTTTTGTTTTGTTTTGTCTTTTATGAGCAGTTCTGTTCCTTACAGGGATAGAATAATGATATTAAAAAATTGGTAATAAAATTGTAGAACGACTATTAGCGAGTAAACACGCCAACTTGTTATTTGTTTCGGAGATCCGCTTTAAAATTAGTTCCCAAAACGTGTTTCATGAATTTGGTTGAAGTACTGTATATGTATACTTGTTTCGTTGTGATATCTTTTTTCGAGAATGATCTTACAGTCCGGCTTTGAAATCAAAACGCGTTCACACTCCAACAATTTGAGGGAATACAACATCCGTTTGAGTTATTATTCGAGAATGGGAAGTTCGATGTTATTGGAGTGGACTTCCATCTTCAGCCAATGCTCGAAATGGCGATGACCGCATAAGCTGTATCACTGACTAATCCATCACCCACGTGATTAAAGTACAAACTTGTTTTGCCTGAAAGTTGTTGACTCAGTTGTTTCATTAGCACAAAACGCGCGAAACGATGACAGGTTCTTTTGTTTTCGAAGCACGTACAGCGATCGATTTCCAATCGATACCTGCGAGTTATTGGACCACGGGATCGTGACGTCAAACCTTGCCCCACCAAGGAGAGCAACTACAATCACCCAACTTGGATTTCAGTAGTGCGTCATCGGAGTTCATGTTTTGAAATTTGGTACGGTATTAGAAGGTGCAGAATACCCACCCAGACATGTTCAAATTAGTCCTGGAGCATGCTACATCATCCGAAATTTAGGGGAAAGGTTACTTAAAAGATTAAAGCGTGTACTTGATGCGTAACTTGTGAGGTTTCTTCGCTCGTGAAAATGTACACAATCTGGTTTGAGGGTCATCGATCTACAACGTGGTCGTACTTGGTTGTCCTTTTGTTGATTTGCTCCGTTCTACAGCAAGCGACAGCTCAGGTGCATTTGTTTATCACAAAGGAGGATGCCATGACACATCTGAGTGAGTATATTTCTTTCAGGAAAGGTAGAAAGTTTGTAAATAGCTCGTATCAAGCCATGTGGATCGAGGGAGAAGAATCAATCGCGATGGCTTGTTCTATATTTCAGAAATGAACTTCCAAGGAAAATTGTATCTCATTCACAAGGGAGAGCCAACTACCATGGTGCAGGATACTGGTGCATTTTATCGTTTTATGTCACCGATAGATTCGTCCGTTTCAACGATTCAGCTAAGCTGGTTTTCAAATCCGCAGGTAAGTACGACGTGCTAGCGAGAGTGATTCTCACACGAGTTGAACAAAGTCCATCAGCCTGTTTCTGTGAATGATTTGTCGACTTCATTTCAGTGTTTAGACACAGTATTCGTTTATTTTAGTTTACGTCTCGAATTGAGGATGAAGCAAAGCTTTCCGTGCGTTTCTGATCATTTGAATGAAAGGGCTTCTCTTAGCATCCCAGTAGCACCAATACTCCACTTTACGCAATGTTAACTTTGTAGTGCATTTTTTGTCATCTTACTTCATTCATGTGACGTTCCGCGAACTATTTTCGTCGTAGAAGTCGAGTGATTGTGTTCCAGAGAGTATTTTCGTTCTTCCAGAGTCATTCTGATGAATAGAAATCAGCTTACAACGCCAATATTAAGAACACGGAGATGGGGTACTTTGTTTTGCATGGCCGGAATGCATTCTTTCTTACTCTATTGTGCGCTTAGCAATGATTGTGAACGATCGAAAATCGGCGATTCTTTCTTCGATTTGATTGCTTGACGCTTTGGATCTTCCTGTTCAGAGCTTTGAAGGGATTAAATGAAAGGTATTAGCGATATCGGCGAACCCAGGGTTTCGTGTTGACGGTTTTTGCGTGAACCATAAAGTATTTATCGTTGTTTATTTAAGCCGGACTGATCGTTCTCTGTCTTGAATGAATGGAATTGTAATGTGATGTTTTTCAAATTGTAAGCGAGCAGACAAGCCATTTGGAGCATTTCTTAAAAAATTTGATGTATTTCAATGTCTGGAAAGTTTCTGTCGAAAAGGCAATCTAGAATATGACTCGGGGGGATTACGCTGTTGGTTTTTTTTTACGCCAATATTAGGAGCTTAGAATTGACCATAACCTCAAGGAATGCATGTGGTTTTGTTTATTTCTTTGAGAGAAGATTTAACGGGGGCAAGTCTGTAGAAATGGCCGTTTTCCAGTTGTTTTCTAATTATCTGCCCCGTTACATCATTCAAACGTGATCTTGCCACAATATCATTTCCTATATATTTTTTTTAACTGCGAGCCTTAAGAATTGGATTGTAGTATAGTTCCGTTGGGCTCGTGCATTTCCTGTTGTGGCTTCTGAAAGGCACGTAAAAGCTTGTTTTTATCGTGGATAACTCAAGATTGCAGGGGAAGCTGCAAACAATATCAGTTGGATAAGCCAAAAGCTTGTCAAGGCACGGTATGGAAACGATTTTAGATTTGATGAAGGCGCATTGCCAAGGGGAGGAAAACAGAACAATAACCAGTAGTCATTCAGTCTAAACACTTGGTTTGCAATAAAGTTGGCGTCCATTATTATCATTTTATCCATAATGGCATTTCCTATTTTGCTACGAGTTGAATATTTGACTTTCAAGAAACTATTAAATGTTTGTGGTGTAAGTTACACAACTTTGATATTTATTTTTTGCCAAAGCAAGATAACTTCAGAAATTAATCAATCGTGAAACCACGGACGGATTCAGCGCCTTCCATTTAGTAGGATTCTGCACAAGAGCCAAAATAAACGGAACTCGATTGGGCAATTTCACTTTGAATTATTTGATTTTCAAACAAGTGTACACGTAGATATGAAAATCAAGCAGAAAAGGCTTCAGGCAGTGTTGCAATAACTTAAGGTCCTCTAATGATATTGTGTCAGGGCTTTGTGCATAAAAACCATGGCTGAGAATCATGAACTTCTAAAGAAGGGAAAACTCTTGAATCTTTACAAGCTAATTCACTCTAAAAATATTAAAATGTTGGAAGTGTTCATGAGAGCATACCTTGCAGGAAATTTGTGGCTAGAAATATAATACCTAAATATGTTGGAAAATTACTTTAAGGGTTGTATGAAATAAAATCTTTAGAAGCAGAGGGCTTGAATATTTGATTCTGTTCTTCAGTTTTTTTTGTAAAGTTCTGCTAGTTCAGTGTTTTAGAATTGGATAAACAAGAAGGCAATCTCATTTTTTGCCCTGTTATAGGGCTAACGCTCAAAACATCAGCTTTTTAACTCTTTATGGTGGTTAATTTACAATTTCAACTTAGTTGATAAAACCAAATTACCTCCTTACCCCTGCCGATGCAGCACCACAGTTTCTGTAGAAACTTACCCCCTTTATTAATATCATCTTAAGTAATGTTTGCCTGATATTATAAAATAGCTGAGATCCTCTTAAATTCTGGAACTCACTAGCTGGAGGCAAGCAATTTGCAGACTTTTCTTTTTTTTTCTACCAAAAAAAATAAATTGAGTTTGTAGAGGCATTCCTTAGATGGATCTTTCCTCAGAATTAACCTTTGAATTAATTAGTAACAAACCCTCAGAACTAAATTTATGAGAAATGTATGTTAGACGGTATAGAGAATGGCTTATTAGATCTCGGGTGTGCAACGTCTAATGAATAGATCATCCGTTCTTTTACAGGTTTCTCATTACAGCATGAGTTTCAAATCAAGTGATCATAGTATAATGCCTGATCCCGTAGCAGCCATTCCTTTAGAAGGAATAGTTCCACATGCTGAAAAAGGTGTGAATGACCTGTCACGACAGGTTCACATTTTAGTTGTTCTGTATAAGGAATCTTTTAAAGTGATCCATCTGTTTGTTTGTAAATAGAAGTTGTAAATATGAGGTACGTGTATGTACGTTGTGAGAGTGCATCTCAACGTGTGTTAACATTGTTAGTTACTTTGGTAAGGTACTCTACACAAAACAGTTTGAAAACATGTGAGGAAAAAAAAAGTTTACTTGATAAAGAAAATAATTGTGAATTGACTAAATGTTTTCCAAAAGATACAGTTAATAGTGGGGCTCCTACACGCGCTTTGCGCGCGTGGGGCAGAGCCCCATACCCATGGAATATGTCAGCCTCTCTTCGTTTGCTTGTCACGTGGCTGACCGAGCGTATGCACGTATGTGCCTTCAGGTTGCATGGGTAGGGTAGGGGAGACTATCAAAACGAAGGGAGGGGTGTCTTAGACGAGTCTTGGCAAATGCACATCTTTTATGTTATCATTAATATTACAAACTTGGGAGCTCCACTTTTAGGCTTGGCTAAATCTATATATTAGTTTTAAGCATATACAGGACAAACATTTAAGATCATAGCTCAAACTGAATTTCAATTAAGTCTTTCATCATACCTTTATAAAAGATACTTCTTCCTATCTTGGGAGCAATGGCATTGAAAGTGTTTAGGCAGTCAGAATGTGATTCTTAAAAAAAGGGAGGGTCTAAAACTCTCTAAAGGAACCTGTTGCTTTATCCAAATTCTTCACACAAAGAGTCCCATTTTCTTAATTATTAATTGACATCCCAAGGTAGAGAGGGTAATTTTTTTTTTTTTTTTGTCATAAATCATACTCATTTGTTGTGTTGGTTTGTCTCGCAGCCTTTCAGGTTTCCTTCTATTGTCCTGGTACTAGGAAGGGAGAAGTTGACATGACATTTGCCCTCAACTACAGCAAAATCATTTCAAGTGCGGTGGTGACCAAGGAGATCAAAACATTTATGCTTGTAGTCAGAAGACGTTGTGAAAAAACAGGTAAATGAACTAACCTTCATTGTAACTAACCTTCATTCTGCTTTTCTGTAGGGGTACATTTCAAACTTTTCATTTTTTTCAGATACTGCTTTTTATGAGCCAATCCTTACATAGGATAGAATATAGAAAAATGTCAATTGGGGGATAAATAGTCAATCCCACACCAAATTCTCAGAACAAACATGATAAGAAATATATTGCAGACTGGAAAAATTACTAATAAGATCTTCGTACTGAAAGGGTTGACCATGAAAACAAACAAAGACACCAAGCTTTATCAAATAATCAAAAATGATGAGGGATATTCAAGTTTATTAAGTGATGCTATTTTTTTTCAGTAGTAGTTACAGGTGGCAGTGATAATTTCACTGAACAAGTAACGTCCTCACCATGGTCACGCAGTAAAGTTGTGGGACTCTGTGCTGGTTTGACGATTGTTACCGTATTAGTTGTTGGGCTGGCGTTACTGTGCCGTTATATTATGAGACAGAGGAAGCTGAAGATGGAGTTCGAAGATGATGTGGAAATGTACCGCAGTGGTAGCAGGTTTGTTACTCAGCTGTCTGTTTCATGCACAGTTGTTCCCCAGTTAAACAAGCTGACCATGGATTCTCTAGGTAGTTGTGATGGGGTCAGTGGATTATGACGTAGTTTCTTTTGCATTTGGGAGGGTTACCTGATCTTGTAACTTAACAAAAGTTATTTGAAATGTGGTATGAAGTCATCTAAGGAAGTGAAAGAAATGTAATAAAAAAGTGGAATTGATACTTTTAAAATGAACTGTAAGAATTAAAGTTAAAGATTCAACGACATGACGTTTTGTCTGCAAAACTTCAGGTCTTTGAATGGCTTACTTTTTTCCTTTTTGTTTACTTAATATTCTGCTTTGAAAACTCACAAGCTTCTTTTGAAAAACCAGCTCATCCAAGATTTACAAAAAGGAAGAGCAAAAGGAAGAAGTTGATGAAACAGTGGATTCCTCAAAGCCAGGGCTGTTTTACAGCCCACCAAGGCCTAAATATCCACCTGCTGGGGGAGGAGGACGGGGTCGGGCTAATACTAGTGGCAGTGACTCCTCAACAACTGATCTGATAATTCCTGAGGAAAGTAGTGATACCTGCATTCAAAAGCAATCAGAGGGAAGGAATAGCGCTAGAGATGCCAGACAAGGAGCAAGACATAAACATCGACGACATGAGCGACAATGGAAACATGGAAGTTTGTCTAGTATGTTTGTTTATTTCTTTGTTTATTTCTTTTTTTTAATGTGGGTGTGTTTCTGTATGTAGGAAACTGTGTCATCTGGTAGAATTACTGTACATCAGGCGATTCAAGATTTTGTTAAGTTTTTCATTTAATTGTCTCTCTCTTTATTTGGCACAGATACAAAATACACCTGGATACAAGAGAGACCTTTGTCATCTTTTCAGGAAACAGAATCTTTATTGGAGAGAAGAAATAGTAAGGGAGTGTTTTGTAATTGATTCTTGTTCTGATAAATCAAATAAATTGTTGCATATGCTTTCATTTAGTCAACAATGGTGTATTGACTGCACTAGTGTGTCATTATTATATTTAAATTTATAAGTTTCTACCAACTAATAAAGATTTTTTTTTCACAGCTCCTGATGAAACTCAAAATACTGAAGGACTCTTGACAGTCTTAAATGAATTTTGGGTGACAGAACTTGCAGATGTTTTGATACCACGAGACCAAGTGTCAGTAGGAGATCCTTTATATAGAGGTTAGCTAGATATAAAGAACTGTAGATGATATTTTATCTCTTGGCACCATAACTTGCATTTCCTTAGAAAACTTTGATAACTGAGCAACCTGGCTTACAATTGTAAAAGTTATTAAACTTTTAAGTTTTGACAGCGAATTGACTTATTCTTATACCATGACATTTCAATTACTCTAAAGAGAGGAGAAGAAGGATTCTAGCTACAGTTTTCATGTGCCAATTCAAGCCAAGTATGCTAATCCTCAGAATTAGTTATCTGTGAAAGAGAAAGTTGATTCATGGCTTCACCTTGGGAAATTGATTTTGCAGGAACATTTGGATGTTTGTACAAAGGCTCCGTGCGAGGATTAAATGAGGAGCAACCTCGCAAGAAAATGGAAGTGTTCATCAAAGCACTTCAAGGTAAGGCAAACGGGAAAGTCTAGTGGAGTTTGTAAAACAGTTATCTGGAGGCATGCCAAGTTATTTGGCGAGAAGATACAAGGGAAGCAGACACAACACTTGTCAGGCATATCAAGGACAAAGATTGTTGCCTTGGTGTGCCTGGATATGCATAGCAAAGGAACGAGTAGTGTGGAGATTTGATTTGTAAATTTTGTGATATTAGCACGGCCTTAGTCTAGAGAGAGCATGCACCTTTTTAAAGGAGCAACTCAAATTAATGCTCCTAGGTGAAGTATGGTTTGACCATTTAAGTGTTTTGGTAACTTTTGGTGCAGCTTTAGGGTCCTCATTACATTCTTTTTCTCAGCTAGTTAAATTTTTCTGGGTTCGTGTAATTATAAGTGAAGTACATCATCCAGTTGAGTTGTTTGTCCTTTTTTTTTTTTTTAACTCATTCTTATTTTTTGCAGATGAAGCAGACATGGACACTATTACATCTTTTATGCAGGAAGCTATGGTCATAAAAGGCTTCGAGCATCCAAATGTGGTGGAACTTGTGGGTGTGGTTCTTCAACGTTCTACACCACCTTACATTGTAACTCCCCTAACAAGAAATGGAGACCTGGGACACTTTTTGAAGATTTCAAGAGCAACATCTGCCAGAGTACAGGTGAGAATGCAAGAGGAACAAAGAAGCGGGTCTTGAGACATAAGAAATAGATGAGGTTGTGTGCTTAGAAATTGGTGCATTTTTGTTTTTAAACCAATAACAACTGCAAAGATAAAGAAAGCATTAGAATGTTGAATACTTATATTTCGACTTCTCACTAGTAATCTTTTTCTTTTTAATAGACAATTACCTCACGCCAACTTATCAAATTTGGAATTGAGCTCTGCAAAGGAATGGATTATATCACTCAGAAAAAGATTGTTCACAGAAATCTTGCAGCAAAGAACTGCATGTAAGTATTTCTAATCTCAATTTGCTGTTTGCTACCTGTAATTGCCTAAATAACGTTTTCCTCTCTTACTCAAGAATTTTGATGACTCTGGTAGATTATTCTATAAAAAATAAGAATTTTTCAAACGTTTCTGTCTTGTTATAAGGCCATCTAACTTTTCCCAGTATTCATAATTTCCAAAAAAGTAGTAACAGTAGTTTTCATTATGCAACTGATAATCGCATACTCTAGTTTACTGCTGATGTACTAAGACTCTTGTTCCAACTAAGTATTTAGATTACCTGTAAACCATTGTACAGCCTTAAGATGATTATTGCATGAATAAAGAGAGGATTGGGTTTTTTGTCTCAAGAATTCAGACTTAGCTGACTTTGCTATCCCTTAGTGTCAATGATGATTTGAGTATAAAGATCACTGACTTCAGTCTGGCCAGAGATGTGAACACAACCAATCTGAATGACAAAGGAATACGGTCTAGACTACTTGTTAAATGGACAGCGCTTGAAGGTTTAGCAGAGGCAGGTCAATTTTCAGAAAAAAGTGATGTGGTATGTTTTGAGCTTTTTCTTTCAAAGTTTCATTTGTTTGTTTTGTGCTTTATGGAAATTAGGACAGTGATTAAATTATAGTCACTCACTTGGCAGTTCATCATTAGCTTAGAATGTTGCATAAAGGTTAACACTCAATCTCCCCCCCCCCTCCCCAAACAGAAGTAAGGAATATATATGAAACATCAGTATGCATATTCTCCCTGTGTTCGCCAAACATTCCCTATAGAACTAAATAGGAGACTTTCTTTAACAATCTAGAACTACATAAGTTGGTTATTATTTCTTTCATTATCGTGACCTTACTCTTTAGTTCAGTTGTGATAAACCAAAGAAGAATTTGAGTGCTACATGTACTCTCCTAGAAAATTTCAGCTAAAGGGGTTCACTTAGACAGCATCAAATTCTCATGAGTAGCTTGCAGAGAAATGTATCATCGTCAATATTGAAAATTTGTTTGTAGATCATGATCATAGAAAGGAATCAGGTATACTTAGGCAATTCAGTTATCACAATGACATTGATTTTGCGCAACAGAACAGATTTCACAGCCTTTAATATCAGCCTTTTAATTTTGCACATTCCATATTTGTTCATTGTTATGCTTCGTCATTGTTTAAAATATAAAAACAGTCACATTAAAGTGAGATTACTCTTCCATTACTCATATGGTGACATTTGTTCCTTCACAGTGGTCATTTGGAGTTGTTCTATGGGAGCTTGTAACTCTTGCTAAGGCACCATATCAAGCTATTGACAATTCAAAAATGCAGCAGCATCTGCAAGCTGGACACAGACTACCTCAACCAAATAACTGTCCATATGACTTGTAAGTTTTTTAAAATTTGTTTCTTTCAGTATTAAGGTTAAAAAAAACTTTTTTGGGGGTTTTTTCTCCAGTGAACTGTAAGCTTATAATTTCATCTTTTTTTTTTTTAAATGAAGAGAGTGATTCTCTGAAAGAGCTCATCTTGTTATTCATAATGCTTAGGAAAATAAAGAAAGGGTTGGTTCAGATACTCCACTAACATAGTTAATGTCTATTTTATAGCTATTGCTAAGAAATTCTCCAAGTACTTTGCATTTTCGTGTTAGATAGAAGGGAGAATTAGGTGTGATATCTAGATGACACACCCAGTTAATAAGTTTTGAAATTTTTTTTTAACCTGTTGCTAAATTATGTTTTGGTGTTGGGAGGAGAATTCAGATGTGAAACAGGTCAGAGTTTAATCCTTTCACTCCAAGAGGTGATCAACATGTAACTTCTCCCTATAATATCCACACAATGTCCAGCAAACAGGTAATGAGAATACAAAATCTTATTAGGTAGATGTTGTTATCTTGATCAAACACCATATCCTCATCAATAATTTTGAAGGAAATATGTAGCAGGTAGAGGGGAGAATTAGCAACAAGATCTTGGTAGTTAAAGGGTCATGGCATTGTTTTGATCCTTCTGTGTCTTTTTGCAGATATTTCTTCATGACGAGCTGCTGGGAATCCAGTCCAAATGCAAGACCAACATTTAGTTTGTTATTAAAGCAGTTGGAACACTACTCCACAAAGCTGCAGCAAAATGGATTCAAGTTTGAGTATCTGCCAGAGTCTGACTGTTAATGAAGGGAAATTTCTAGCTGTTCAGGGCATATTGTTATTACTCAAATATATAATTTTTGTATTCATCATTGTACCATAGGAAAATAATAATTTTTGTACATTGTATAGATTTATCAAATGATAGCCGTTTAAAATTCATGTAGCCTTTAATTGAGGTATGTTTAAAGCGGGGCATATAAAGATTCTTTGGTTGTATTATAAAAGGAGGGTCAGTTGTTTAAAGATATTAAGGTACTATTTATTATTGAAGGTGAAGTTTACTATGTATGTCTGTTAAATTTTGCTTTTGAAAACACAAGCATACGGGAAGACTTCCATTTTACAAAGTGTAGGTTATGGGTCAGTATTTTCGTATGATTTTTTTCAGTGTTGGTCATAGCTCTTTTCTATTCTAATGTTGTGTAATGATTGTGAAATTAAAATCCATTTTTCATTAAGGACGTTGTAGTTTCGGGAGGAAGCCCCTGTCAACAGGATCATAATCTCCTAGAGATGGATCACAATTTTGGATTGTAAAGCTGTTCTTCAAATGGAACACCTTGTATTTTTCATTGTGATTCACTACTATCTAGCTGCCATAAAATTCTATGCATTTTTTTTTTTTTTTTTGTTGCTGTCTGGTAACGTTGTCGTTTTTCCTGAGTAACATTTTAGTGTTTTGTTGTAACCGTCATTGGTGGCATTCAACGTTGGATTTCGGTGTTCACATGCAAGTCATTATGTAAATAGTCACAGTTCCTACCCAGATTTTTCTTGGAAATATTTTATATTCAAGTTATGCTGTGTTCATCTTGTTTGTTGAAAATCAACATTGGCATATGTATTATATAGTTTTGCCCCCACTCTTAATGTTACTTCGTGGATGCTATTCATTAGAAAACACTATGTATGTTGTTTGGTAAACCATATTCGTATTAATAGTATCACAACAACTTTTAAATTAATTCATAACACCTAAACAAATTTGTTGCCTTCAGACCCTCAAAAGCTTACACTATGAATTGTTATTTACTTAGTAATAAAGAGGTATTTTTCTACTAAGTTTAAAAAAATATGCCACTGCGTGATTTACTTTAAAAACTTCTAATTTGCTAAAGAATGTGTGCTTTAGTGGGTATTGAATGTATTCAAAAAGAGTAGCACCTGTCCTCATACAAAACACGGGATAATTTTAGGACAACTTAAAATTATTTTGTGAATAAGTTCAGTGTTTGCAGAGGTTTGAAAGATGTTTACTATGCTTTCCAATGAAATATATAGTTAGCAAATTCTGCAACATGCTCTTTTGAACATCTAGCACAGTAAAATTTTCAATGTAATTTATTATGCAACAATGATTATGGTGATGCTAGGTTTGGATCACATTTGAGAATTAGCAGTAACAAGCTACTGCAAATGTTAGTCTGTAAATAGTTGCGAATTTGAAATATTTGAAGTACCATCACATATGGTACATTCTTTGAAGGTGAAGTACAGTTGATATTAAATCTTGCCCATCTGTAGCCTCGTGTTGCTTTTGTGCAAGACAAGCACACAATTACAAGTTCTCCATATATTAGTTGTTAAGTACTAGTTGTAGTTTACAAATGTGTTCTTTTGGTTCATGTTCAGATCTGTACAATGTAACGTTAGGTTTTTTTGACGGGATATGTTTAATGGTACATCTCGAAAGTATTACAGAATGAACGCATTTTTCTTCAGCATATCGCATGTGTGGCTTTTCTTTAGAAGTTAACCTCGTAACACGATTTTTAATAGTGTTTGCTAATTGTGACACGACATTGTTGTGTAGAAGCGTTGTCAAGGAGCCAAGGTTGAGCCGCTTGCTTTAAACATACCTTAGAACGAAGATGTGTAGATACACTATTAATAAAATGTTTTGTAAAGAAATATACATATACCACGTTAAAAATAATTGCCAAAAATATATTTGATGTGAATAGTGATTTTAATGTAATCATTTCATTGAATATGAATGGTTTAACCTTCTGGCAATAAATGTGTAATTTAGAATTCCTTGTGGGGTATAAGTAGTGTTTATATGTCATAGGCGATTGAGCTTTGGTGTTGATGTTTAAGAAAGCTCCCAATGTATGGTCCCTCGGGAAACTAGTTTTGTTTTCCAGAGAGTCCTGATGTTTCCCCGAGACGAAGTCTGGTAGCCAATCAGAACACAGGATTGGCTAAATCTTTCCAGCTCCTTAAAGACATCCCTAATTTGAAGATGTATTTTACTGGTTCCGTTTAAGCTGGTCAACTGCGGAATCATTAAAAATTATTCCACGAGCACGCGTTGGATATGAGATGATAGCCAAGGAGGCGCTTGGCGCCGAGTTGGCTATAATCATCTCATATCCAACAAGCGCGAGTGGAATAATTGTTTTATAAAAAAAAAAAAACGCCCCCCAAGATATTAGACAAATCTTCTGGACTTTACTTTGTGAGAAGAAACCGGATGTTACAATGTACAGATATTAGATTATGGTATATTGGCTCATATACCTTAATTAATGGCTAAGCCAATAAAAAGTCTTGAATTGCATTATCCAATGATCCAGTTTTTAATAATTCCTAATACATAGCCATCTTGAATGAATATCCAGCAATCAGAGTTGAACGGCTGGTAATGAGAATCGAAGTGTTTGATTGAAGAAAATAGTTTTACTGGAGGAAATAAACATATCGTAATAATGAATGATAATGACTTTTTATTTACAACATTGTCCATCTAAAGATCTTAGCGGTTGTTAGCAACGAGAGATAATAAACAGTTTATCGTGTCTTAATCAGGAACAATGCCTGAAGTCAGTCAATGATATCTGGGAGAAGTCTTGGTAGGATCATTTTACCAATGGCCGAGCTCGGATTAAATGTGTAAACTCCTAATCTACGATATTCGTTTTCCTTGTTACTTGTTTTTTAAACAAAAATCAGAAATACTTTGCCCATCCCTTAAATGTTGGAATTCGAGAAAGTACTTTATGCCTAGAAGTTTTCTTTTTAGACCTAACTTGAGGGCCTTGTTCAGAAATCAATATAATCCTTAACTAGACATGTAAACTGCTCTTCCAGTTAGCTACGAAATCTTTATCGCCAGTAATAATCATTTCCCTCAAGAGATTTTTAGAAAGTTTTTGAGATATATAATGAGATATTCCTTGCAAGAAAAAGGTAAGGATTTTAAAAACTTTTGACTATCATACGTTACTGGGAAAAACGTTAAGTCACCAAGCTTGAGATAACATGTGATTTCCTGCTAATTATTAAAAAAAAAAAAAGAAGTTTGAAAAAACATTTTGGACAATACACTTTCGATATAAAGCCTCTTAAAACAAATCTTCAATATTTTCTTGGGCTGCCCGACGTATTACCGTTAAAAGGCAAATGACTTACTCTTTTCTCAGTTTGCTTAGTCAATAAATAGCTTTAAAAAAAATTAGTCAAAATAAGTATGGTTGATAACTTAACTATTCGCTTTCGGGAAGTTTTTGAACTGTTAAAACGTTCATCAACACGACTTTATGAACTGTCCTGTCCCAGGCTCGGGTGAGTTCTTTACAGAAGTGTTGCATGCATGGACAACAGCTGAGTGCCTCAAGTTTAGCTCGCAAATGGCTTCCTCTTTCTACACGGGGGCAATTGACAGTTACGAGCTTAAATTGGTCCAGTTCATTCCGTTACAGGGGTTTTTACTTTACTCGTGGCCATTTGGTTGTGAAAATTGTGGCCAATTCCCAAAATCAAATGTCACGTTGTCACCAATCAACATAAAAGAAGCCCACTTAGACACTTCTTCAAAGCCATTGTTTCTTATCCATTTCCTGGTCTCGTGAAGAGATTCACTCGCACTTTCACTGCGGTACAAGTGTTTGTAGAAACAAGTCATGAACTGCTCTGTGGCTGTGTCATCTAAGGCTCACTGTGCCGCTAACACTGAGCGAGCACTGGATCCTAAGAACGCTCGGGTGATTCCAATAACTCCCTCGGCTTTAATCTGCCCACGGGCACTGTGACAACAGCTGAGTACCATCAGTTTAGCTCGTAGCTTAATTTCTGAAATGTCCGCCATCGTCAAGAGGTAGACTTCTTCTCGAGGAACACAGTCAGCGGGACAGTCAGGGGAAAGGACAATCTCTCCTCTTTCAGCATTAACATGGGCAGCCAAATGAATCAGACTCACTGAATGAATCATTTGAAGTACAGCCTGCTTTGTCGCCGTGGTCTGCAATCAAAGGCTTTACCCCAAGAAGTCTTCCAAGCATCTCTGATTCCTTTTTTGCACATGGCAATGATGTTATAATCATGCGTCTTCCCTTGAAAATCACCTCTCCAACTTTAGGGTCACCCATGCACTATCAGAGCATCTGTTTGACTGTGATACTGTGGAGGACTGTGCTGAATAAGTTTGAGAGTCGTCAACGATGGAACGATGCGAAGCTTTGATGACTCCGATAAATACTTTCCTTCTTCGTTAGTTAACGCGGCAAATGGTACCTGGTACATACAGGAATCAGGGTGAATTATGACCTCGGGCTCCTTCAGTAAATCGGCTACAGGTGCGACGATTATCTTGTAACACAAGTCAAGGTTTTTCTTGATATGCTTGTCTTCACAATCACGCAAGAGTGCGCAGTTTCTATAGTGATCTGACAGTGAGTCGGTGTCATCTAGAGATCGATCTTCACAATTCTGTGCGGGTAAAATGCCAAGGCCACGAAAGCTTTCTGTAAAAAACTCATCCAAGTCAGGGACAAATTCGGTCTTCACGTTTTTGTCCAGGCTCGCTTTCTCTTCTGTAAAAAGGAAAGCTCCTGTAGCTTTGAGAATCCAGTACCGTACATCCTTTTCTCCAGCAGAGATGTAGAGGCATGCAGAGTCATTTTACTTTGCGACAATGTTTTCAATACCACACCAAGATTTCGGATTTCTAGAGATCTGCTCTTCAGCAGAGTACCGAGCTGCCATCAAGTCGGCCAAGCCTTTTGCCCGTCGTAGCTCCTCGACGTAAAGGGCGTCTTGTGGCTTATCGGTCGCAGAAAGCAACCTGCTGAGCAACTCGTAGGGAGAGGTGCCGTGCGTGTCTAAAAGTGATGATTTTAACTGATAAACCTTGTTTCAGCGTGAAGTAAAAGTTCTCTGAAGTATTCTCTAAAACCCGATGAATTACACATTGTTAGCCACGCTCTTTTCATTGTAGTGCGGATACGTTCGTCAAATGATTTGGCAACTGAACAGTCTGCGCCTAATCCCCCATTGTTCAATAAAATTGAGCATTCCTGGCACAATTCGGTGACTTTAATGGTCAAACCAGTATTCAAAAGGAAGATGGCGACAGCTAGACCTATTTTGATAGCTCATTTGGTAGATTCTTCTTCTGTGGTGTCCATTATGGCCTTGATCACTATTGGTTTGAGGAAAAAGAGAGGTCAAACACATGACAATAGAAAGTTCCCGCACAGAGGAACAAAATTTTAGTGCAAAATCTTATTAGGGACCTGATGTATATTTGATGTTTGTGCCGCTTGTGCTTGAAAATTTGCTTGCATCCGATAAAACTGTATTTAATGTAAAAAAAAACAAAAACAAAACAGAAACCTATTTATTGTTTCTTCATAGCTCTTAAAGTGCCCATAAACCCCCAAATTATTTTTGCTTAAATAAATTTTTTATAATTCTGAGCAAAATGGCGCAAAAATTTGTGTTTTTGGTCAAATCTGGAATTTTTTATGAATTTTGTAAGTCTGGTTTTTTTCTTCCCACGACCGAGTAAAAGGGAGACTGGGACTAGTGACGTAAANAAAGCTTTCTGTAAAAAACTCATCCAAGTCAGGGACAAATTCGGTCTTCACGTTTTTGTCCAGGCTCGCTTTCTCTTCTGTAAAAAGGAAAGCTCCTGTAGCTTTGAGAATCCAGTACCGTACATCCTTTTCTCCAGCAGAGATGTAGAGGCATGCAGAGTCATTTTCCTTTGCGACAATGTTTTCAATACCACACCAAGATTTCGGATTTCTAGAGATCTGCTCTTCAGCAGAGTACCGAGCTGCCATCAAGTCGGCCAAGCCTCTTACCCGTCGTAGTTCCTCGACGTAAAGGGCGTCTTGTGGCTTATCGGTCGCAGAAAGCAACCTGCTGAGCAACTCGTAAGGAGAGGTGCCGTGAGTGTCTAAAAGTGATGTTTTTAACTGATCACTGTCTTTAAGAGAACTTCGCAAAGTGTCGAATATTTCAATACTTTGAAAAAGAAACGAACGAGCTTCTTCGAGGTGGAATTGTGATAACTTCATCACCGATAGACTTCAAAGGCATTTCAACTCACAGAACTTGTGTCCAGTATCCCTACTTAATGTGAGAGCTTTCTTGAGGTATTCCTCGGCCGTGTCATATTTAGCGAACGATTGGAAACACCTTCCTATATCAATGTAATTGATCACAACACGTACCAGCTTTCCTACCAATTTCCATGTCAGTTGCAAGGGCTTTCTTGTAATACTCTAGAGCATTGTCATACTCACCACGCTTATGACGAAGTGCCCGAGGTTTGAGAAATGAATTGCCTCTCCTTCCATGTCACCAATTTCCCTCCAAATTTGTAATGCTTTCTCTAGAAAGTCTTTAGCCTTTCGATATTTACCGAGAGAGAGAAAAATAGATGCCAGGTTTCCATAAATAGCTGCCTCTCCCTTTCTTTGGCCAATTCTCTTCAAAATGGACTTTCTCCAGGTATTTTTGAGCCTCACCATAATCACCAAGTGTGGATAACAGTGGTCCGAGGATTTCGTAGTTTGACGCCTTCCCAATTCTATGGCCAATTTCTTTGTTGATAGTGTGTGCTTTTTCTATGCATTCTCGGGCCTTCCTACATTTGCCGAGCGATCCGAACAATGATCCGAGGATTCCGTAGTTTGATGCCTCTCCATTTCGGTCGCCAATTTCTATTTGGATAGTTAGTGCTTTCTCCATGTATTCTAGGGCCTTCTCACATTTGCCTAGCGATCCGAACAGTGCTCCGAGGTCTCCGTAGTTTGATGCCTCTCCAATTCTGTCGCCAATTTCCATTCTGATAATGAGTGCTTTCTCTATGTATTCTCGGGCCTTCTCATATTTACCTATCGATTTGAACAGGTTTCCTAGCTTTTCGTAAGATGATGCCTCTCCATTTCTGTCGCCAATTACTCTTTGGATAGTGAGTGCTTTCTCCAAGTATTTTTGGGCCTTCTCATATTTGCTGAGCGATAGGAACAGGTTTCCGAGGTTTCTGTAGTTGGTTGCCTCTCCATTTCTGTCACAAATTTCTATTTGCATAGTGAGTGCTCTCTCTCTGTACTCTCGAGCCTTCTCATATTTATCGATGGATTGGAACAGGTTTCCGAGGTTTCCTTAGTTTGATGCCTCCCCCTATCTGTCGGCAATTTCTCTTTGGACGGTGAGTGCTTTCTCAAGGTATTCTCGGGACTTCTCATATTTGGCGAGCGATCGGAAAAGCATTCCGAGGTTTCCATAGTTTAATGCCTCCCCATTTCTGTCGCCAATTTTTGTTTTGATAGTGAGTGCTTTCTCCAGGTATTCTTGGGCCTTCTCATCTTTACTGAGCGATAGGAAGTGGGATCCGAGGTTTCCGTAGATTGACCCTTCCCCATCTCTGTCGCCAATTGCTAATTTTATAGTGAGTGCTTTCTGAAGGTATTCTCGGGCTTTCTCATTATTGCCGAGCGATTGGAACAGTTTTCTGAGGTTTCCATCTCTGTCGCCAGTTCTATTTTGATAGTGACTGCTTTCTCCAGGTATTCGCGGGCCTTTTCATTATTGCCGACCAATTGGAACAGTGCTCTAAGGTTTCCGTAGCTTGATGCCTCTCCATTTCTGTCGCCAATTTCTATTTGGATGGTGAGTGCTTTCTCCACGTATTCTCGGGCCTTCTCGTATTGACCGAGTGATAGGAACAGTTCTCCGAGCTTTCCGTAGATTGTTGCCTCTCCATTTGTATCGGCAATTTCTATTTGGATAGTCAGTGCTTTCTCCATGTATTCTCGGGCCTTCTTATATTTACCCAGCTTATAGAACAATAAGCCGAGCTTTCTGTAATTTTCTGCTACGCAGCTTTTGTCACAAAGTTGCATGTTTATTTCAATTGCTATCTCCAAACATTGTTTACCGTTGTCGTGTTCTCCAGAAGAGAGGAGTTCTCCGTAATACTTTGCTTCTCCCTGTCTTTTGCCGGTCATTTTCATGATATTTACTGCTAATTCAAAAAAGCTCTTTGCCTCTTTAATCCTTGTTTCAGCGTGAAGTAAAAGTTCCCTGAAGTATTCTCTAAAACCTGATGAATTACACATTGTTAGCCACGCTCTTTTCATTGTAGTGCGGATACGTTCGTCAAATGATTTGGCAACTGAACAGTCTGCGCCTAAACTCCCATCGTTCAATAAAATTGAGCATTCCTGGTACAATTCGATGACTTTAATGGTCAAACCAGTATTCAAAAGGAAGATGGCGACAGCTAGACCTATTTTGATAGCTAATTTGGTAGATTCTTCTTCTGTGGTGTCCATTATGGCCTTGATCACTATTGGTTTGAGGAAAAAAAGAGGTCAAACACATGACAATAGAAAGTTCCCGCACAGAGGAACAAAATTTTAGTGCAAAATTTTATTAGGGACCTGATGTATATTTGATGTTTGTGCCGCTTGTGCTTGAAAATTTGCTTGCATCCGATANCGTTATTTCGCCTCTTTTCGTAAGGAATCCTCTTGATCTAAGGTCACAAATCCAATTTTGTTTTTCTTCAAAGAAACTCACACCGATCGATATGGTTACGGTTTGTTACACTTTGGTGTTCATTACATTGTCACGCAATCATTGAGGTGTTCATTACAATGTCACACAACAAATTAGAGACCCCTCTAAAATGAAACTACTTTCGTCAGCAACACCTTACCGTTTGAAACTAGATATGTTCTGTGTTCACTTTGATTAAATCAAAGGTACTCAAATAACGTCTTCGCTTGAGAAAAGGAAAAAATTATTTTAATGTACCGATGATAATAAAGTTAACCCTTGAAGTAGAATAAAGGTAAAGAATTCATCAAAAGTATCGACGGTTTCTTCCTCATGCTATTTGAATAACTAAAAGGAAAACGCATTTGATGTTTAAAGCCAAGTATTCAAGAGCTTGCAGTCCATTAATACATTGAGAACCCTGCCTAAGTCTTATTTCTGGGTCAGTGGTTCTATCTCCATCAGAGAGTTCCGCGCCAGAATTTTGGGATCAATCTGGGAACGCCAATTTTGTTCAGGTATTTGGTACAAATTGTAACAAAAACACGGAATTTTTACTTGTTGGCAAACGATATCACTATTTATTTGTTACTTTCGTGAAAAGTATCCCGTCCGCCATTTGAAAAATCAGGAAGTAAAGAACACTGATGACTTGAAAAAAGTTTCATTTTCAAAAAGCATTTTCCCTGGCGGAGGAAAACGTGATCGGAGTTGTAATCTCTGTGGTTCTGAAATGTGAATTTCATGAAGTCACGTTGAAACCAAGAGGTTGAACTCCTTGCTAACTTTATTATTTATTATCATTTTATTTTATTATTTTAATTATTTATTATTATTTTGTTATTTATTATCATTTTATTTTATTATCTATTATTATTTTATTANGAGGGGGGTTTGAATAGAAATTTGCATAAAACCTAGACACCTTTTGTGGTCACGTAACATATCCACACTTGTTGATAAGTGTGGATAAGAACCATCATTATTCAAAACTGCGGTTCTATTTCAAAATGCCAGTCGCACCAATCTTTGCCGTTGTTTAAAGATATATTGTTAGTGCTGATTCCAAGGTCTCTACTTGCCAAATATATCGAAGGATAACGATGTGTTTGACCTGTTAACAGCTCTGTTACAATTACAGCTCTGACCTTCTTATCTAAAATAAATAAATGATCTTTGGCAGATTCAGCATCCCAACCACGCTTTTTTAGCAAATAATATAACTCTTTCTTTTTCATCTTATACATTCCAACAATCGGTGGGTTTTTATAACTCATTGCAATTGAGATCAGTTGATCCTTTGTAAGTAGACAATCTTCAATGTTGTATATCGTTATTTTTGGAGCCATTAGTTCATCTTCAACAAGACCTCGCTTTCTGAGATCGTTGTAGAGTTCCTCTTTTAGTTTAACAGCTGATATCTTATTGTCTTTTGCAATCGCTTTTAGCTGACACCATGAGTAACTTTTAATATCTCCTTCGACAAGTTTTTTCTCTCGCATCTTTTTAAACAGGTCATTCCTGTTCAATTCATATATGTTTTTGATATTTGCGTCTTTCGCAATCTTTCGCAGTTGAGCAATTGTATAATACATTATCGGTTTGGTTTTATAAAGTTGCTCTAGTGTTTAAATAAAGTATGACTTTTTTCCCAAAGTGTCAAAAATATACCATATGCACAATAATTTGACGTGAATGCGTTGGGCCGAGCCGCTGGAAAGTACCAAATTATTGTATATGCACAATAATTTGACGTGAACGATGAAAAATGGGGAAAAAAAGTGCAAAATAATGTATATGCGCAATAATATGACGTGAATCATGAAACTGTCCTCGAACCGGCTACAATACAACTACTCGTAATGTATATGTGTTCTTGTTGAATGTTGCTTGGAAAGGAGTTTGCTTCCTGAATTCTGTACTTGTGCAGCAGGTGAATCCTCCTATGACAAGTCTTGGATATTTTGTGTTTGTGGGATAGGTAACACAGACTATTACTACCTTTCCTACTAAACTTTGTCTTTTGGCGTAATGTTTATGTTGTCCTGTGGCCCGGAGTCACGGTGGTTACTGTTTAGTACACTTCTTGGTGTACCAGTTGAATCACCCATGGAGGGCTGTGTGTAATGTATATGTTGTCCTGTGGCTTGGAGTCGCAGTGGTTACTGTTTAGTAACGACGGCAGATAATTCATCTAACACTGTTCCGGCCCATTGAGGATTCTGTTCAATCTCTTCACTTAAATGTGTCAGGTACAGTTGTTTTTGGTATGACGCGGTGTTTGAAATGAAGGTTGAAATGTAAGTTGAAGGTTATAATCGTAAAAAATATCACTTTTTTGGATTGACAACTTGTCATAAAAAGCCTATATAAATTGTTCGTTTCCTACTCATTTGATTCATTTTAGCGATGTCTTCCGAGAAAGAGTTCTCATGCGATTGCAGTCAATGCGAACGAGAAAGTGAAAGATGCGAGGAACATAGCTGAGATCACAGAATTTAGAAAAGCATATTTGTCAAAGTGGATAAAAGAAATTACTGAAAAGTTGGCTTTACTTAAAATTGAATGATGCCTAAACACGTCAGCTGAAGTAAAGGATTCGCTTATAAACAGGCAGAAATATGGTTCCAATGTACATCTTGCTGGTATTATACACCTTATTATTGCAG